TCCTCTCCTCTCCTCTCCTCTCCTCTCCTCTCCTCTCCTCTCCCACCTCCATGCCACATTCCAGGATGTTTTTCTGGACCCACATTCTGCTGCTCTCTCCTAATTCCTGCTCTGATAAGGTGTGAATACAGTGAGAGAAGGAGATGGGTGCAGCAGAGCTGGGGCAGTTGATTCATTTCTGATAAAACCAGGATTATTTCAGCTCTTGCTGATGGATGTTTTGGCAGCGCTGAGCAAATGCCAGCTGATCAATCAGAGTTAACCAGCTGCAAATTCTCTAAATTCAGGTGATACCCAGGCAATCCATATTTTAGATGGGCTCCAAAAGTGCAGCAAAAACTCTGCTGGAAGTGTTGGAATGAGCAGCCAAGTCCTTGCCAGGATTTCTGTACCTGTCACTTAGGGACTGATGGATGGGTCATTAGCTCAGAGAAATTCTCCTAAGGAACAAAAACTTCAGCAAAAGATGGATTCTCAGACAAAAAGTTGAAATCTGAGCAGCCCCTTTGCCAGGAGAGGTTTTGAACATCTCCTGGAAAAGTCAGGTGGGAAACCTCCACACTGAGGAAGTTTCTGCTGCTCCCTCACCTCAGTTTGAAAATTAACATCTAGACACAGTTAAGGGATAAAGGGCTTTTATTTCAGTGCTTGATAAGGAATTTTATGGTGCAACAATTGGTTGCAGTTTCAAAATGAAGATCTAGACACAGTTAAGGGGTAAAGGGCTTTTATTTCAGTTCTTGATAAGGAATTTTATGGTGCAACAATTTGTTATGATGGAATACACTGAAATGCACTTATAGGTAGATTGCATATATGATTTTTTAGACCTTGCCAATTAGCATATTTAACAAAGATGTTCTAATGACAGGCTCTAATGAATAGTGTGACACTTTTTATCCTAAAGTATTTTCCCTTAGACGGATTTATGAGATGTATTTTAGAAGGGGTTTGGTTTTTTGAGATAGCACAAACCTTTCACCAGGAAGCTGCTCCCTCACCCCAGTGTTCCCTGGCCTGACTGAAATTCTGGAGATTCTCTGCCCCTTTTTCTGCTCTTAGTCACCTTTCTTGCCCAATATTCTCACCCTGAGCTTGATGAGAAACTTTGGTAAGAGAACGCCCCTTCCCAGTAATTCATTGTGCAATTAAACCACTGTGTGATAAATACAAACGAGCCCAGCGTGCAAACACCACCTCCCATTTCTGTTTGCTTTCAAACCAAGGGACAAGGCCTTGATCTGATTCTTCATTTTTCATCTTCACTTGTAAAAGAGAACTTGTCCGTCCTGCCTGGCAGGAGGCAAGGCTGGAACCCAAGAAGTGGCCGTGATGAATTTCACAAGGAACTGGTTCATTTCTTGTGTTTTCCAGTCAGGATTCCATCATTGGTTCCTCTTTTTGAAGCAGATAAATTCATGTTCTGAGGGTGTAGCCAGGGGAGGAGAATCTTCAACTTCTCAACTTTGTGGTGACATGGTGGGCTGGAGAACTGGGAGAATTGGGAGAATTGGAAGCTGTGGAAAGGTTCAGCAGTAGAACCATTGAATTTTGGGGTTCTCCTTGCTGGGAGAGTGGGTCAGCACTTCCCACAGAAGATCTAAGGGCTGATATTTCAGTTTGTTTAGCAAACAAACTGAAAAAAAAAGGTAATTTTGGCCTTTTTCCAGACAAGTTTTCTTCAAGGGAAAACCAAGACGGGCTCACAGAGCTGTGTGAAAGGAATCACCTGGATAAAAGAGCAAAATTTTACTGGAAGATTTCCATGTTCAATGAAGGCATCTCCATTCCTGAGACAACTTCACAAAACATCCAGTTCCATTTAAAATATTCTCTCCCACACTGGTTTGAAGTTGGCACTGAATGCTGTGCACCAGGGCACTGTTCTGGAGTGGCAGAACCTGCAGCACCTGGCCCTGCTCACTCCTGACCCTCCAGCCCCAATTTTGGATGCCCAAGTGGCCCCTTTTGCTCTCCAGGAAATGCTGATCCCCAGCAGCCCTGGGAGAAACAGCAATTTCCTACCTGGCTTTGTCCCTCTCAAATACAGATTAGGACAAATCTGAGCCTCAGGGATGATATTCACTTCATAAAAGCAGAGGCCATAAAGCACAGGCCACTTTCCACCAGAAATCTCAACGGGAGAAATTCAAATATTTCTATTTCCACTCACAAGCCCTCACCAGCTGTTTGGCTATTCATGAAAATCCTCTTCAGAAAGAGTGAGGACTCTTTCCAGGAGCGGCCTGTGGTGAGATTTCCAGTGCAATCTTGCTCTGGATAGACTCAGAATATTAATCTTTTCATGGTATTTTGTCACCACAACCAGTTATTCCGCAAAGAAATGAGGCAAAAAAAAAAAACCAAAAAAACCCAAGTGACCCTCCAAGAGTTCTTTGAGTTTCTGGTATGCAGGCCTCAAAAAAAAAGGTTTCATTTGAACTTTTTCAGTGG